CAGTAGCCGAATAGTGCCACATTAAAGACCACTATAAATAGCAGCTCACCTCATTTATTTTAGGTTGTTGAAATTCAACTAACTCTGCCTTCTCTCTATTTTCTCTCTCTAAAAGTTGTAAGAAACTCATTGTAAGAATTGTAAGTATATCGCAAGTGCCGACCTCGTACGAGAGGCCGACCTCGTGATCGTCTAATAAAATCATAATTAATCCGAATCGTTCTCCTATTTTTCAGTCTTGTTTTCAACATTCTTTATTTTTAACCGTTGACCGAAAACGCTCGTCAACATTTCTCTTGATTTTCTTTTTGTTTTAAATCATTTAAAAAACTTTCCATTTATTCCGATTTTGTTTGCAAATATTTTTTTTTTTTTTTTTTTTTTTTAATATGGCAAAATCATTCCATAAATTTCAGATAAAGAATACACGTGCTTTAGGAAACATAAACATGAATTATCGAAATGTCAATCGGATCTCATCAATTTTTTTTTTTTTAATATAAACATCCTAGTGTGGGATGGGGGGGCTACACCCCCGACCTGTGAATATAAAGGCCCTGAAAGGGCTAATAAGTCAATGGTCTACATCAATGTCGAAGATACATAGAATAACAACAAAAGCAGAAAAACAAAAGGTACAAGGATCACAAAATATCTAATATGAATCTCGAATCAAGTCCTCATAAAAGGTCGTCCTGGTCAGAGTAACTTGGCATGGGGTCCAAAACGACCATTCTAGTCAGGGTCAGGTGGTGGCGGTCGACCGAATCTGAAGGATGAGTACTCTAGCTGGTCCATCCGAATGAGCGTTCGAAGCAAGAGGGGAATGTCCTCAGAATGAAGGGTGCGTCTCTGGGGTATAGATGGCCCCGTGCTAGCAAGGAAATCAGCGGGTTGATTCCCCTCTCGGAATATATGTGAGACCTGGTAGTGGATCGATCGGAGAGTGTCTCTGATGCGCATAAGGGATGCTGGAACTGCCATGAGCCCTGGTGGCTAGACGTCAAAAGTGTGACAACAGCTGTATTATCCATCTCTATCCAGATATGAGAAGAGATCGAGGCGGCAATCTCAAGACCAATCTGGAGCGCCTGAACCTCAGCATCATAATTCGAGGAAGCCCGGAGTGGCCCATGTAAGGCAGAGATGAGTGCCCCACCACGATCCTAATCAGGCCCCTTCCTCCAGTAGCTCCGGTGTGTCTGTCGAATGCGCCATCAATGTTTAGCTTAACCCAAGGGGCCTTGGGTTTCAGCCAAACAACGATCTTGGGTCGTGGGTGATGGACAGGTAAAGGGGGTGGTGGCCTCAAACAACGATCCTGGATCCTGGGTGATCACTTTCATCCTCACGCACTGCACACACAATGATTCACTCAAAATTCTCCATCATTTTGTTGCATTACTCCCATTCCATTTTCAAGGCCGCCAAAATAGGGGGTGTTGGCAACTAGATATTAGAGAGGCTCGGCGTCGATTCCTGTTGATGGAGAGTGCGGCATGGTTAGCTGGCGTTCTGGATTGGACAGATGACTCGTGGCGATAAAGCCTGCGGCTTTGGGTTAATGGCGGTGGAGACTGGAAGGCGATGAGCGGTGACCATATATTGGAGGAGTCCAACTGCAAATTTGAATGTGACTAGTGATGGTAAAAAATCAACAGATGTAGATCGAGGGCGGCAATTTGCGACACGACTACGACCAGACGGTATCTCAGATTTATGGCGGATTGCGGCAACACGACTCAGAAAACTCATAGGCGAGCGGATGCTTCCCAGGATTCCGTTTATGTACCGTTTATATTTTGTTTATGTATAGTATATAGATACATTTTTTTTTTATATATTTATTTTAATATTGTGACGTTTATATTCTGTTTATGTTGTGTTTATGTACCGTTTATACTCCGTTTCTGCATTCAATATTCAGACATCTCTTGTTTTGAATCTTTGACTCAAATTACGTACGTACAGCCAAAAAAAGTAAAGAACAAAACACTATAATTATAGATAGGCTTATATATCCAAGACATGATCTTTATAGGTTGCTAAGAAATCGTTCAACACATATTTTGAATTTTGAATTTCACCATCTTCCAAAAAGAAGACACAACTGACTTCCATGATCAAAGGAAAAAACCGAGGATACTAAACAGAAAGGTGGTTTTATTAGTGTTCCGTAGTTGAGTGTTTGATTATACATATTATTTGAGTTTATTTGTGGTATTTCATTACTTTTTTTTTTAATTGTTTAATTGTGACATTAGTAACGAATTATATACTAACATAAGCATACTTTATACCATTATAGTGACTAGTGTGTATCCCGTGCGATGCACGGGTAAACAATATTAAATAATAATTATAAATAGGTATCGAGTTTCAGTCACCCATTGAAAGAAGTGGAGAACCACTATTGATCATCTCTTAAAAGAGCAAGAAAAATATTATAAATTAAAGATGAGGGTACACAATATTAAATAAAATTATAACTTAACAATGTGGGGTTAACATGTCATATAATTTACGGTATATCAGTTTATTATAAACGATATAAAATTAACTTGTTCAAGAGAACATAAAATTTGTATATTTAAGCAATTAAAATCTCCTAAAATATTATATTAACATATGTAAAATTATCTAAAATTTTCTATATTATTATTAAAAGATGTGAAGTCACCTACAACTTTTCTAAACTATTTTGTAAAGAAAATGTAGCTAAAAACATTAAAGTTTATATTTGTATGAAAGATATTTTCTGAATATGACATGATAAAATATTATAAGCCTAAATAAATACATTATAAAGTTTTTGACGAAAATTTACCTAGTATATATAAAATAAATATTGACATGATGCTGAAAATTATGACGATACTACCGTA